TGATGTTCCTGAAAGACGAACGCTACGACCTGAGCAAGGATGGCAAAGCAGTGAACACGATGAAGAATGTTTTGTGATGAACGATGGTATGCCGACATCAAAATCGACGACGGCAACGACGTCAGAACGAACGAGAATGATACCTACGGCAGTTAATCAACGCCAAGAACGAAGGGCAGGACAGATACGAGGAGATGAACGGCAGCATGAAGAAGTCGTGACGCTTCAGCTCACGGATACGATGATCAGTGAAGCGCAACAACGGAGCCGATTGGTGCAGAAGTTACTGAAAAGTGGGACACATAAAGGCATGAAGGTTGAGACGGAGTACGGATTGGTTCTTATTGATACAGCTAATGGAAGACGAGTTGTATTACCGCCCGAACTTTGGTCTCTAGTGTTCAAGGATTGTCACCGATTCTGTATGGTCAGGACATTTACGAGCACCGCATACATACGCACGCATAGCTCAACTCTATTGGTGGCCGGACTTACAAAGAGAGGTAAAACGATGGGTGGCAGGATGCCAAGAGTGTGGAAGCCGTAAGGCACGACCAAGAGAGGTGATACCCACGTTACGAAGTCTACGAGGTGGAGATGTTGGAGATCGCTGGGCGTTAGACGTCGCAGGACCGCTTCCACAGACAGGAGGAGGACAACGATACGTTATCGCTGCAGTTGAATACGTTACGCGGTATGCAGTTGCAACAACGGTGGAACAACACACAGCAGAAAATGTGGCAAAGTTTATTATGAAGAACGTAGTACTAAGATTCGGAGTTTTTCGCGAACTACTTACTGATGGAGCTCCCGAACTAACCGGTCTTGTGATAGAAAAATTGATCATGATGCTTCAGGCGCAGCAGATTAATCCAGTTCCGTATCGCCCTCAAATGATTGGTCTTGTGGAGAGGTCTCATAGAACTTGGAAGGACTGCATCGCGACCTATATGCACCACGAAGATCAGAACGATTGGGATACATGGTTAGACTTTGCAGTATATGCATACAACTCAGGCAAGCATTCAACTGTTGCATTATCTCCAAATGAATTGATGATGGGCCGTAGACTACGTTCACCTAATGAATTGCTACGATGTACAAGTGTGACTGAAGCGGGTAAGTTGGATGAGTATCGCGTACGGTTAATAAAGGCGATGAAGAGCAGCCACGAGTGTTCAGAGAGCGCAAGACGGAAAGAGCAGGAGCATCAAGCTCGGTATTACAACCGACGTGCGAGAACAACGAGGACGTTCGCGACAGGTGATCGGGTCTGGATGTATCGACCACCGCGGGGACCGAAAGCTACGAAGTTAGTGCATACATGGATCGGACCTCTTCGAATTGTCGAACCTGCAGGCTATGACAATTATGTAGTGACGTGAAGATCAGAACGATGAACCAGAGGAATTTATAGCTCATGTGAGTTTCCTCACAACTTGTCATTCAAAAGTTGAGTTACTACAACGAGCCGCAGCTGATCTACAAGAGCAATTGGAATATGAAGAGCAGCGTGCTGATGACGAGACGGCAGGAACGACTGCGAAAGCAACGACGGCTCATGTGCAAGCAGCAGCAGTTCCGGCAGGCTCAAAACGAAGTCGAACGACAGTGGACGGAACGAACACTTGGAGAAAGTCGGGTAGCAAGTTGGTGGAGGTACGACGACGACGACGGCGCAACAAAGCCGGACAATACGTACTGGAGTACGAGTTGTGACCTGCAGAGCGACGATCACGAGGGAGACATGACGACAACGGAGCCCGATGGGTATCGGTCGCTGAGTACGAGGAGTACTTTCAGGCCGGTAGAGTCGTGGAAGACTCTACAAATGAAGAAGGCGTGTAACCGGTTAGTGTGGCACGATGTAGGCACGACGGTTGCTGGTGAGATCTTCCAGCAAGACCGGTGGATGATCGGCTCCGACGAAGAGTCGAGTGAACCCAACAAACGTGTGGTGGACACGCAGGATCGTGCACAACGGAACAGTGAAGGGTCGCAGACGGAGAAAACCCGCGGCCATGAGGAGGAGTGAGAAGCACTCACTCTGAAATCGGATGGGCAGAACACAAGTGGGTGAGGCAGACGCACGAGGTGTGTTGTCCTTGCTTGTGGCACCCGATAGAGGAGTGAGCGCGAAAGTAAGTGACGAACGAAGAACGAAGGCGGACGGAGTCGACAGAGAAGCGACCCCCGGCAGAACTATACGTTTACGAAGAAAACT